TCTTAAAGGCTGGACAAGGTTAGAAGCTGTGCACCTCCTCCTGAACTGGACGGGGCTGGACGAAGTCTGCACCCTGCGGCCGGGCCTGTGCGGGACAGGAGTGCTCAGGGAGTGTTTTGGCAACGAAGTGAACAAAGCTCTGCGGATCTGTGTATTTTCTTTTTTTTTTTTTTGGTCTTTTGTCTTTTCTTCCGGTACCAGGAATCGAACTCACGACCTTGCGCTTGCCCCGCAAGCGCTTTGCCGCTAAGCTAAATCCCCAGCCCCAGCTCTGCGGATCTGAAGAACAGCGTGTCTGACCAGGGCCTGGCCTTCTCGTCACCCGTGCCTCCGTCTAAATCACTGACCGGAAAAAATATAAAATCTGTTTTTCTGCTTTATGCATTTTCTCTGCTTTTCTGATTTGCCACAGTGAACTTGTCTTACTCTAGGAATCCAAAATGAAAAAAGAAAAAGATTTCTTTTGGTTTTTTGAGATAGGATCTTGCTGTAGTTCAGGCGAGCCTTGAATTCACTATGTAGCCCAGCTAGCCTGGAACTCACAGTGATCCTCCTGCCTCAGCCTCTCGGGTACTGGGTTAAGAGTCGTGGGCCGTGACACTAGGCTGAAAATGAAATGTTTTTAAAAGAAAAATGCAGATAATGTTGGAGGACCAGGAGGGTGGAATAAAAGTGGGTACTGAAGGACAGGAGGGTCTGGAGCTTCGGGTCCTGGAGAGCCACCTGGGTTGTTGTTTTTGTTTTTGTTTTGTCTTTTTGAGACAGGGTCTCACTGTGCAGTTCAGGCTGGCCTTGAGCTCACTTTGTAGCCCAGGCTGGTCTCGAACTCGCAAGATCCTCCTGCCTCAGCCTCCCGAGTGCTGGGATTACAGGCATAGGCCACCACACCCGGCTTCGCCCTTTTTCTTGCTTTTTCTTTTTCCCAGAGGCCACGGCGTTGGTCTTGCTGCTGCAGCTGAGCTGTCTCCTTTCCGGCCGTTCTCGAGGTCTCACTGAATTTAGGGGAGGCTGTCGCGGCTCCTCGCCACCTCTCACTTCTGGCCCCAGGAACCCCAGGGAGGCCACTCGCTCTTGTTCTGTTTCTGTGAGGGAGCACGGGCTCCTTCTCCTCCAACCGCGTGGTTGACACGGGCGCGCCGTCCCCCCAGCCACACCCCCTCACCGGGCAAAGCCGGGCTGGGCGGCGGGGCGAGCTGGGCGGCACCAGCCCGAGGGGCCTTCCGGGCGCACCCC